ATGGGGGTCCCCTGCTCCCCTCCACACTCCGGTGGGTCTCCGCTGCCGGGATGGGCTGGGCAGGGGGGAGGGTGCCACCAAGGGGTCCCTCAGTGGCACCATGGTGGTCAGCATGGGGCAGACCCCTTCAGGAGCGGTGGGGGGGACGGGGGGAGCATGGGGGCTTCCTCCCCACTTTGCCCACACTGGGACTGGGACATGAGTCCAGCACCCAGTGGGGAAACGGGTGGCTGCGGGTGCCATGTCAGGAGCTGTGGCGGGTGGGGGGGTTGTCTGTCCCGAGACAGCCGGCTTGTCAGACCGCTCAGCCTAGCCTACGTAACTTTTCAGTGCCGATGGTGATTGTAACCCACAGCAGGTGCAGTTCTTTTTTTGCCCTGGGGCGCTGCAAAAAGATGTGCCCAAAACCCTTGCCGAGTCTGCCAGGCATCCCACAGCCCAACTTCCACCCCAGGGGCTGCCGCGCAGTGGAGGGACACATGGGGACAGCCCCGAAAGGACCTCGAGGGTTACAGCAGTCCCAGATGTTCATGCCCCAGCATGGCGTGGGGAAACCCTGATATGTGATGGGGCTGGGGCTCGCAACTGTAGGAGAGGGAAAGGCATAGGGAGGATGGGGCATCCCTCTCTGAAGGTGCCAGCAGCCAGGGGCATCCGCACGGCTCTCCAGGCACGGGCACGTCCACTGGACACATACAAGTGGGCACTGCCAGGCACGGACACCTGCTGGGGCATGCAGGGATGTGATCTGTGCACCCTGATGTAGCCCGCAGTCAGGATCCTTCCCTGCTCCCCACATGTGTGCACACGCATGTACACACACACGTGTGCACACATGTATGTACACACGCAGAGCGGAGATGGCGCTCACTCTGCCTCTGCACCGCGGGCTGACAGCCAGGAATCGCAGTGCCAGAGGAGAAAAGGTTTCTCACGCCTCCACAAGTGGAGCTGAAGGGCAAATCGCTTTTGATGAGCCAAAACGTTCCCAATTTCCTCTCTCCCAGAAAGCAGAAGAGGCCTTGCAATCCCCTGAAACCAATAAATACCTAGGGAGAGAGCGCCCTTTCTCAGCCCTGCCGGGGCAACGCCATGAAGGGTTAAAGACACCACCCCCCCCAAAAAAAAAGCAGAGATGCTGAAACCGCTGGGGAATTGGGAGGGAAAGTGGTGAGAAAAGACCTGTGTGGTGTGCAGAGGGAGGAGGGGTGCGGGTGTGTGAGGGGGTCCCCTCTGGGACAGGGGGTGCCCATCATCAGCGGCCCCCCCATCCCCACGGCCGTGCCCACCCAGGCGCAGATGCTGGCGGGGGCCTGGGATGGAGCCGGGGGAGGGTGCGCGGGGGGGAGATTTTGAGGCGATGTTTAATATTCAGGTCACATGACGATGGCAGCAGGAGCAGCACCAGCATCCCCGCTCTGCTGAAACAGCCACTGGAGAAGGAGGGGAGGGAGAGGGGGGAAGAAGAGGACACAGGGAAGAAAGAGAGAGGTAAAAACAGAGCCTCATAACCCACCACACCGCATCAGCATCAGGCTAGAAAAACTGGGGGAAGACCCACCCCCTTGGGAGAGGATCTGGAGACAAAGGAAGCTTCATGTTCAAAGGTAGGATGCTCTGGGCTTGGCAGGGCTGGGCGATGCTGGAGGGACGCCGCTCGGGCTTTTCGTGGAGGCACCCTCCGCCGTGCCCCCGCGCTGCCCAGCTCTGGTCGTGAGGGAGGAATATCCCCGAAGGGCAGCGGGGAAAATTGGTCCTGTCTTTGTCTGTCTTCTTTTTTTTTTTCCTTTCGGTGGTAGTAGTCTGGCATGAAGGAGAACGAACGGGCTGGTTTTGGTGCTGATGGGGAGTAGCTGGCGCCAAGGGCTGCTCTGAAAGAGATAATCCCAGCTGGTCCAGGGTTGGGGAAAGCCCACAAGCTGCTCTGCGACTGGCTTGTCCCTTGCCAGTGACAGGCAGTCGCTGCGGGGGCAGCAGGGACGTCCTGTGCTGCTCCCTGGCATCTGCGCAGGAGCCTGCGGGCGGGCAGGGAGCCCCAGCAGCGGCGGGCAGGCAGGGGGACAGGCAGCTGGGTACCCTGGTCCAGGGGTGCTCAGCATCCTCTTGCCTTGTGATACAGCTGTGATGCCCAGGTGCAGAGCCAGGGTATGGTTTAAGGACTGCACAGCCAGGGACTGAGGGTACAGATGGACCTGAGGCAAGCATCTAAACCTGCAGCAGCTGGGCTAGGGATGTGCCCAGCTCCTTCACCTTCAGCTCCGGCATCTCCAGAGAGACTTCGGCACACGCTGCCCTAGATTTCACTGCAGCCCTGGCAGAGCCGGGCTGCTGCCCAAGCTCTCTGCAGAGTGCTGAGGGGAAGGAAGGTTGCTGCCGGGAAGGCTGCAGCAGCCCAAAGGGCTGGGATGTTTCCCTGCTTCACTCGAAATTCCCGGTGATCCTCAGGCCAGGCAAAAAGATCTGGTAAGAAGAATGGCTCTGTTCTGCGCCCTGAGGTCAGGCGGTACATCCGGAATGGCTCAAGCCTTTGTTCTGCACAGCTGGGAGAAATGCCCTGGGGTCATCACGGAAATGGAGGGGAAAGGGATTTTTTTCAGTGGAGGGATGCTCAGTCCAGTACTTCTGTGGATCTGAAGCAAGGACCAGATCCTAATGCCTGCAAGGCCTGGGGAGGCTGTGCTACCAAAGCAGCTGCTTGCTTTTCTTCCTAGGGACCTGGCATCACCCACTGAGGGCCCGCTTCTGCCAGCCACCCTCAGGCTCTGAACCCATCCCTTGTCCCCATCCTGTGCCTGCAGGGAGTGGGACCGTGGGTCCGGGGCCACACGGGTGGAAAGGGCTGGGGTGAGACGTGCGTGTGGATCACTGCCTCCAGCCAGAGCAGGACAGCCTTGGTGCCACACAGGAGGACAGCCACAGTGAGACCGTCCATGTGTTATGTGAGGGTTAAATAGGCTTTCCTTGCTGGAAGCTGGGTTGTGGTGCGCGACTGTTTGCAGCCCTCCCTCCCTCTTGCCACTTCAGACAAAGGATGGGAAGGCAGGGGGAGGGGACATGATTGTATCTGGGTTATCGGGACAGCGTAGATGGAAGTCCCCACTACCTGAGCCCCTAAGGGACCTGTGGGGCCACCGCTGTCCCCAGCAAGCTGCTGTGAACGTCAGAGGCAGGCGGACATGAAGGGTGTGCTGTGGAAAAGGTGTCTGCTGCTGGCCCCGTATGCTGGCCTTCCAGTGAGAGGATTTGGGCTGGATCTGTGGGTGTCAGAGGTAGGAGATAGCTGGGACCGCTGGGACCTCTCTGGGCACCCATTGGCCCTCTGGCCTTGCCTGCCCTAGAGCCAGATGCTGCACCTCTCCCTGCTCTGGAGCTGAGTGGAGCATTTCCTCTGAGCCAGAGATTATCCCTGGGCAGCCCAGCCCAGCCACCTCCCACTGGGAATTGGGCAGCAGAGGTGTCTGTCACCAGCAACCGTCCTCTTAATTGAGCTTCCCTTAGCACATGGAACAAAGCAGCAGAGAAAAAGGTGGCAATACGAACAGTGCATGCAAGTGGTTAACCTTGGCTAACCCTCTATTCATTATCAGCTGTACTGGCCATAGTGCCCTATCATGTATTCATTACGGGGGACAGCTGGAGGGGCTACGGGATGTGCCTTGGGTGCATAATGCCACCCTTTGACCAGTCAGTCAGAGCGCTAATGAGGCTTCATGGCAGCATTAGCATTACTGCATGTAAAACAGACCCATTCCCAGGAGACCAGGTGGACGAGTTTCATGTCTCAAGGTGCTTCTCATAGCTTTGGCCCAGGTTTCACACACCCTGACCTCCTCAGCAGGCTGTTCCTCGGTTGGGTCTTTGGATTCCTCCATGGAAGTCAAGAGGTGGAAAATGGTGTGCAAAAAGCTAAGCCCTTGGGTACCTCTTCGCAAAACTGGGGCTTCCCTTCCTGAGGCTATATGGGAAGGCACCCCATACAGAGAGGAAGGCAAGTGACCAAGAGGAGAAAGGGGGTTGTCAAAATGCCCAGGGCAACATCACTGATATAAAATCCAGGAAATATTTCAGAAAACTTCTGGAGATCTTTTCTCCTGCTCTCAAGACTTTTTATAGGTGCTCAGGAACCTGACTCTGAAATACCTGCTCCAGCCACTGCAAGGTTTTGGCTCCAGCAGTGAAGCCTGAAAAGGCATGACCGTGTATTGAGATGTCCACACCAGAGTTACTGACTTCTGCTGGCTCTGGGCACAGCGTCTCTTGGTGAGACTGAGGGATGAGTTATGAACGTCTTAGTGAGCCTTGAGGCTGGCTGCCAGCAACTTCCCTCCTTCCTCCTCCCTGTGTAAGAACAAGGAGTTGAAGGAATAAAGGAGTGGGCAACAGACTCCCTGAGGACAAGCTACAGCTTGGGCAGCAGAGGGGTCGCAGCCCACATGGCCCAGGTCCTGCACCCATCCCATGCAGCTGCTCAGCTGGGCTTTCTTCCCACCTTGGCCTGTTCCCTGTCCACCTCTGCGGTTTCTTTGCCCCCATTACTGCAGTAGTCAAGTGCCTCACTGGGGCCACAGCCCCCTGCCCCACGTCCCCTCATCATTCCCTGTCTCACTCTCTCTTCTCCCTCCCTTTGGGGTAGGTGGGACCCCAGCAAGGCTGTGTGGGGTGTGCACTGGAGGATGCTGCAGCAGGATGAGAGGCACGGCACAGTCACGGGACTGTGGTACAGGTGGTGCCGGGCAGCCCAGGAGAGAAGGAGCAAAGGGCAGGGTACAGGAGAGCTGGCTGGCTTGGCCCTCTGTGCTGTGCCAGAGAGATGGGCTTTCCTGGCTGGCAGCAGCTTTGAGAAAGCTGGAAAAAGACAACAGGAGCCCCAGGGGATGCTTTGTCAGCAGAAAAGGCACAGACTAGCTTTGACGGGCGTAAGAGCGGATTGCAGTTGAGAAGCGCTAGGCTCCCCCCGGCCGGGCGGGCTGCCTCCTCCGGCAGCTGCCCGGCAGCATGAGGTGCTCCAAATTGCCAGCCTGGCTCAAGCCAATGGTCTGTCTTGTGCTCTCATCTCCCCAGGGTGCTGCTCACTGCTTGAGGAGAGGATGATGATAGCTCAGAGTGTCTTCGCTCAGTGGGGAAGAGCAGGGCGGGGGGGGCCATCCTCCGGCAGATGTCTCTCCTGTGGGCAAGGTGGAACGGAGGTGGTATGAGAACCTTCAGACATTACACACAGTGCTGTGCACGGGTGGCTGTGCTACCATCCTCTCAGTCGGAGGGAAGATGCCTTCTCCCAGTTTAACATAAAAAGCTTCCTAAGCAGTGTAAAAGCAGCTTCTCCCTGCCAAGGGTGGCCCTTCCGCAAGGTCTGCCCTCAGCCCACGGCAGTGGGATATTAAAGCTTATATAAAATGTAAAATCTTCACTGTGTAGAGCAGCCCTTAGTGTCTGTGCAGGAGCTTTGATGTGGGAATGCTAGGCAGGGTCACCAGCCAGCCATGCAGCCCGTTGCAGCCTAACCCTGTCCTTGAACAAAATCTCTCTGACCTCTCCCCAGCCCCGGTCTCTGCCTGGCCTGGCTGAGCTGTCATGGGGACCCCAGACCGGCACTGTCAGTGTCCCCAGCTCTGTGACCTGTGAGTCATCTTCCTCTCCAAGAGGCACGTGTCACCCACAAAATGGCAGTTGCCTGCCCTGCTACTCACATGCTTCTCTGCAGCCGGCACGTTCTGCTGAGAGTAGTGAAAAACTCCACCAAAATCATAGAAAGGGATAATTTAGTGTGAGATACTTGAACTGAAGTGGCATCCAAAACAAGCAGAATGCTTACCAAGCAAAAACACATGCTGTCCCTGTCCTGGAAAAATAATCATCTAATGAGACAAAGCACGGGGGAGTCAAGTAATTAGAGTGAGAGAGGCTCTAGTTTGCAGCTGGTTTGTATATGAAAGGTATTTGATTCCCATCCCCTTCATCTTCCTTTCTAGATTCATCCCTCACGCCTCCCTTCCCCACCAATTACAGCTTTTCTTCTGTGCCCTGTCCTCTCCCAACCTCTGGCTTCCTCCCAGCGGGTGGGAGCTGCTCACTAATGAGACAAAAGACAGAGATAAATGGACGAGGCCCGCCCCAAGCAGCGTGTGCCATCACCCGAAAAAGAGTCAAGGAGGCTAGAAAGTCCGCAGGGCCTTTCTTTTTGCCCATTTGTTTTACATGGAAGAAGTGAGGAGGGGGAGGTGAGAGGGGAAAGGTGCAGATGATTAGTCTATTGATCACGATGATTTGTTTCTTGAGCATGACAAAACCCATTGATCTACGGGCAGGAGGTGGGCATGGGGGTTGTGGCCATGCTTTGCACTTCCACCACCATCTTCCCCTGAGGAACTCAGCCTGCACAGCACAGACATTAACGCAGCCTCCCCTGGCATGGGACAAGCTTGCAAGTCCTCACGGTAAATCCCAAACTCTGTTTCAATGCTGGCACGTGACACATGATAATTTTTTGAAGTCTGTTCCATTGCAAATTTCATGCTAAACTTGGAGGGGCAAAACACTGATGATCCTGGTGAGAACTGGGAGACAAAAATGAGGAGACACACACAAAGCTTTGGGCACCTGATTAGACCCTTCGCTGCGTCTGCTCCTGCTGCTTGGAGGTAGCCATCAATATGTTGTGTGCTCAATGAACCCCACTTCTCCACCTCCTCATCTGCAGTGATACATAGAAAAGGGTGCTGGAAACTCAAGTACATGTTCCTCCACGAAGAGCCTTACTGCTAAAATCTTGCCATTCAGTCATCCTCAGTAGCCCTTGAAATGGATGCTCAAAATTGTCCTCAGGCTCTGTGACAGGCCAGCGGGGAGGTCCTCGTTACATCTCAATGATGATTTTTCAATCTTTCTCCCCATGCAGGCCCAGTGGAGAGCAAAAACGAAGCAGCCATGTCTGAGCTGGTCCCAGAGCCACGACAAAAACCAGTCGTACCGATGAAACCCATGGGCATTAATGCCAACTTACTGGGCTACATCGGTATTGACACCATCATTGAGCAGATGCGCAAGAAAACCATGAAGACGGGTTTCGACTTCAACATCATGGTTGTAGGTAGGCAAGGACCAGCTGAGGCACTGGGAACCATGGCCAGGGACTGTCCTATGAGGCCAGGTGGGAGAGCGAGCCCTGCAGGGAGGGCATGAGGGAGCAGACAGTGCTTGCTCTGGGGGAAAGGAGAGCCTGCACAAGGCAAGGAGACACCTACAGCCCCTTGCCCTGCCAGCCTGGCTCTGTCTCCTGGGCCCTACTGTCATTGCTGGGCTGTGGCAGATGTCACGAGCTTCCTCTTTGCAATCCTCAGGTCAGAGTGGACTGGGAAAGTCAACATTGGTGAACACCCTCTTCAAATCCCAGGTGAGCCGCAAATCTTCAGGCTGGAACCGGGAGGAGAAAATCCCCAAGACAGTGGAGATCAAAGCCATTGGGCATGGTAAGAGCCAGGCTGCTGGGGTGGAGGCAATACTGATGTTTCAGCACAGTCTTGCAGAAGACCCCAGTAATCTATGCAAACAGTTCTTTGTTGTTAGGCAGCCCTTTCTCCATGGGAAGCTAAAGGACAAGTGCCAGTTCTAGACGGCCTCAGACTCAGCCAAGACTTTTCTTAAACTCACTGATGCCACAGCCAAAAGTGACGGGTACATAAAGAGTTATAGACAAGACATTAGTCTGCATTTGTGGATTAAGGCTTGCTGTAAGTCATTCCCACCTGCAGACATTTAATGATCTATACAAATTGCACCGGTGGGTCCCATCCCAAGCCTGGTAAAGCACATCTCCTCATGGCAAAGCATCAGCACAGCTTCTACAGTGGTGCAGAGTAATGAGCATCACCTCAGATTCAGGATGATGCATTGGAGGGGAGGACAAGTTGTGTAAGGTAGGTACTGCCTTTGGGCTACAGACTGAGCACAAATCCATTTTCCTGTGGCAGAGTGGTATGAAATGGCTTTGGTGCAGAGATTACTAGAATTTGAGGTCAGAAATGCAAGTGGAGATCACAACTGTTGAGGCATGACCCAGCCTGGCCTGGTCATGCTTGCTAGGCAGGGATAAGGGCAGAGTGCTCTTCTTCCCTTGTAGGGCACAGCAGCATGTTTCATGATGGAGCAGGTCCCCAGGAAGGCATATGATTGTTTGCAATTTCTTCCCCAGTCATTGAAGAAGGTGGTGTCAAAATGAAGCTGACAGTGATCGACACGCCGGGATTCGGGGACCAGATCAACAATGAGAACTGGTGAGTTTTGCATGGTCAAAGCCTTGTGTCCAGGAAAGGGCTGGAGTTAAGAAGGTATATGGAGTGACTCTCATCTACTTGGCCTGGACAGTGGCTGGGAAACTATTGCACTCAGGGGTCCAGTAACGGGGATGTGGAATGGTGAACACCATGGGTCTGTGCGCATGCTCGGGGGTATGCACACATTACACAACGAGTGCCTATTTCTGTGCTCAGTCACAGAAACTCTTAAATGTCTCTGCTGATGGCGAGATGCTTGTGGTGGATATTTTTTATGCCAAAGCCTGCTTTGCTGCTGTCAGAGCTGAGAACACTGTAGGCAGGAACATGAGGAGATTTGTACCTGTCTATTCATCTCTCTCTCTCCCACCTTAACAGCTGGGAGCCTATTGAGAAATATATCAATGAGCAATACGAAAAATTTTTGAAAGAGGAGGTGAATATTGCAAGGAAGAAACGAATTCCGGACACGCGAGTGCACTGCTGCCTCTACTTCATCTCCCCCACAGGCCACTCGTACGTACACAGTCCCTCGTCCTTCCTCAAGCCCTTGGTGCCTCCATGGCAGATATATACCCCGCACTGCTCTGTCTCAGCCATGGACCCCAGGGTCCTGCCTGTGGGGCGGGCCACTGTTTAGCTTAACTTCGGGTGCTGCGGGGGTTGAAAGGGTCTAGGATAACAAAGGCAGGACAAACGCCACTGTGGTTTTTGGGAGAGGGCAGGATGGATGGGAAGAAGAAGAAGAGACCATGGTGGTGGCAAGCAGGGTACGTACAAGGGAGGTTTCATTGATGCCCTTTGGTAATGTTGGAACAACCATTAGGATGAAAAGTGAGGAGAGTAAAGTGACCCCTTCCATGTTGTTCCCTCTTGGGCTGCAGCTTGCGGCCTTTGGACCTGGAGTTCATGAAACATCTCAGCAAGGTAGTGAACATCATCCCGGTCATTGCCAAGGCTGACACCATGACCTTGGAGGAGAAGACCGAATTCAAACAGAGAGTGAGTATCTCCTCTCCTGTACGGGATCCTTCCCTGCCCCAGCTTGGAGGTGGGAGAAATGAGCGGTATCCTTCCTGGGATTGCAGCACAGTCCTCAGGGCATGCACAGGGTCCAGCGCTGGGTTGGTGGGTAAGTTCTGAACATGCAGCTGTTGATGGCTCTGAGGGCATCTGTTAGAGAGGGAAGAAAGGTGACATCCCTGTGATATCTTGTGATACACTCTGTGACAGGAACTGCAGAGCCAGACAAGTAACAGGTTGGGGAAGAAAGACTCATCATTCCTGACATGTGTTCTCACTTTGCTGCACACTTCCCTGGGAACAGTTATTCCAGCCCCTGCCCGCTGGAAGGATGTCCCAGATGTGTTTGCCCAGTCATCCCACCTGCCTTTCCTTCAGGCTTGTGTTGCTTTGTGCTGCAAAATGTCTCTCTGCCCAGGTGCGCAAAGAGCTAGAAGTAAACGGGATCGAGTTTTACCCCCAGAAAGAATTTGACGAGGACTTGGAGGATAAAACAGAGAATGACAAAATCAGGGTAGGAAACATTTTATTGTGGGAGGGGAAGGGGGGATGAGGGATGGTCATATTTAATGAGTGTAAAACAGACACGTGTCACTAGAAGGTTTTAAGTGCTTCATGATCCCTGAGTGAAAGATGCAATGGACGTAAGGGATGGTCATTCCTGCCTCCCAGTTTAATTTGTCCAGTCATTACTACAGGATGCTATGAAGGCTGAATGTGAATGGATTATGCTTCACCTCCTCTTGTTGAATGCTCTATATGGCCTCTGTTAAGGACCAAAGGGGCCTGGTGTGTAGCTGATGTCCAGCCTCTGTCCCAAAAAACCACCCCATGAGCCCTCTCATCTACTGTCCAAACTCTACCTGAAAAGCAGTCCATCTCTTTGCTCCCACTGCCCCTGTGAGAAGGCTTGTCCCACCCTTCCCTCTTCAGAGCATCAGAAACTGTCTCCTAATTTCCAGCCCATATTTGTTCATGGCCAGGTTGTACACAGGATTATACCTGTGTTCTTGTGCCACCACTGACTCGAGCAGTTCTCCTGCTCAGTGGTCCCCTCCACTACTCAGGCATTTATAGAGAACAGTATTATCCTTTGCTGATCTGTTCAGCTACGGAGACAAGATCCTTCAGATCAGCTTCCCATTCCTTAGCAGCTCATGCTCCTAGTCACTTTTTTCTGTGCCTGCTCCAGTTTAATTTAATTTTCTAGTGCTGGTACCCTATAGTCCCCCATCTCTTCTGAGATCTACACTACTAAGCCCTTGAACCACATGTGCTTTTTAAACAATTGCATCACACAGGTGGCTCGTGGTCATCTTGTGACTGACTAGCACCTGGTGTCCTTCCACGTCTTCAGTTGCTGCTTGTTCATGAGCTCTGAAGTTTTAGCAGAGATTCTTGACATTATTCCCTAAATGCTGCTCTTTGTCCCTCAAACTTACATCTTCCCAGATAATAGCCCAGTCTGCCTCTGTACTGACAACAGCTCTTGGCCTTGTGATGCTAGTATATTTAATTATCTCTCTCATCATTTTTGTGGCTAGGCCATTAATGAAAATAGATTGACTCCATGGCAGTCCTCAAGAAACTCCAGGAGTCTTGCATTGCTGCCTGACACTTGCCCTTTCAACTCCCTCAACTGTCACAGCCCCAGTAGAAATTCCTACCTTCCCCACCTTAATTAATCATTTCCCATTTGGCAATACATCACACATTCTGGCAAAGACTACATGGGTTTTGCTTCTCCAAACCGTTACTAGTTTTGAGGAGGGCACCACATTTTATTCTGCACTTCAGCATCACTGCCCTAGGTTTGGATAGTCTCACACATAAGAAATAAACTGCTTTTTAATCTCCATTCCTGTGGTAATTGCAGTCCCTTCCCAGGTCCAGGGACATCTATCAAGCACAGTAAATCTATTAACATCTGCACAACCTAATGGATAGCAGGGTCTCCTGCACCCTGTGCTCTGGAAACAAACGGTTTCTCCCTGTGCTTAGTGATATCTGGGTTCCCAACAGCCTCACCTACTGTCCCACTTCCCAGGAAAGCCACACCTCTGTCCCATGTCTGGCCTTCCTCAGTACAACCATTTCAGCCATTAAACTTGTTGAATGTTCATGTGTCTTGTTGGGGAGGATTACTTTGAGTCCTCTCCGTTGGGTGAAGAACTACAGACTTTGTGAGAAATACTCACCGCAAACTGCCCTTATGAGCAGCCCTGGGCTGACAGACCCTCTCCTGATTACGCCAAGGTACTACTTCTCTGGTCATCCCCCTCTTCAGAAATGCTGGAGATGGGAGCAGAAAAGCTCTGCCCCACTCTGCAGCATTTGGCACTGCTGCAAGGACACCCACTAAGTTCAGGGGGTGCAAGGACACCTGTAAAGCAAGGGCCCAAAATACTAGGAATAGCACTGATGGGTGAAGAGGACAGCCAGTGAGGTGTTGCTCTGGAGAACCTCTTCCCTTGGACAAGGCCTTGTGTTTGGTGAGCTGAGAGCAGGAAAGGTGGATGGGGAACAGTGATGGTTCTTCTCTGCAGAATGGGTTCAACAAGTCTCTCCACATGTCTCTCCCCAGCAGGAAAGCATGCCCTTTGCAGTAGTGGGCAGCGACAAGGAGTACCAAGTTAATGGCAAAAGAGTCCTGGGCAGGAAAACACCTTGGGGAATCATTGAAGGTAAAAACCCCCTTGCTTCTGGGAGCTGAAAGTATCTCTGCAGGCCCCGATAATAGACAACGGTCCAGATAACATGTTCCAGGGCTATCTTCTCATCCCTCTTGCGATAAACTTTTTTAAACCAAGCAAGAGGAGAATTCTCAAATAGGTCTGCTGGGAGGGAACTGCCATGGTCAATGCATTACCACTACCACCAACTGGCAGAAGCTGGAGCCACTCTGAACACCACAGTGTGTGAAGCTGAGCTCCTGAGATTGCCTTGGTTTTCCGACGAAAGTTCACATGCACCTGGCAGTGTGTCTGCTCAATGCCCGACAGTTTGGTGCTCGCACAACTGTCTGTCCTTTCTGATGGAGGTTCTGCCCACCTGGAACCTGCCCCATGGCAATGACCTTCCCATGCTCTGTAACCATAAAGGTGTTGTTGGAAAAATCGAACGTTAACAATGGCTTGCTTTCTTTTCAGTGGAAAACCTCACTCACTGTGAATTTGCCCTACTTCGAGACTTTGTCATCAGGTAAGGCCATGGTCATGCACGGTCTGCTCTTGATGAGGAAGGACTCTTCCTGAGACCCTCTTAGAGTGAAATAGCCCCTATGGAAAGGAAGATAAAGTACATTTCAGGCAGTGAAAGCTTATGTGGGGTACGTTTGGATTGAGTTAGAGGTAGATACTCTAGTGCCTCTCTTAATGACACGACCACTATGCCAAGTAGATGCTGGTTTTCATGTATGATCTGGATGCCTGAGGAAAAGCAGATCCCTTATACCCCATTAAGGATATTGTATTGCAACAATTTCTAGTTGTTACTGACATAGTTCTGGGCTGGAGTCAGTGAGAAAGAGGTCACTACCCCATCCTAGACCATTTGTTCTACCAAGTTGAGGGATGGGCTGTAACATATGACCTGGAAGTGAAAAGCTCCATATTTCATTCAGCTTTCATTGTCCTGTCTTATCCCTACTCTGTTTCACGAAGCTGTCTCAGCACAACTGGTATCTGCCCTGAATTCTGCAAAAGAGCTGCAGATCCAGGGTCACCTCTGTTCTCTATAAACACCGTAAGGTTTTAAAACAGCACCAAAAATAAGAAAATAAGGGCAACACACTTCAAAGCCAGACCCCTGTGGCTCATTCCACCTGCAGGTACAGTGATATTGAGACACTTGGCCAGGTATAATGCTTTGACATCACCTTACCACCCTCTTTTTGTTCTGTGATACCTTCTGCAGCAGACGTGCTTTCCCTAAGTCTTCCAGTAAATATATCCTAACGAAGTGATCATCACAAAACACGCAGCAACCCAAGCCCACGAGCTTTCTGTGGATGTTAGGGACGTTGCTCACAGCAGTGTTCTACAGGTTATGGTCTGCAGTGGACCTGATACACCCTCCTCATGCTTCCTTGTCTCACCACCGCTTCAGATGAGATAAGCTCATGTCTGCTGTGATACACCAGGACGGGCAGTAGCTGCCCCACTGGCATGGGTGTGAGAGGGGCAGGACACTGGCAAGCACAGCCATGGATTTCAGCCCATATCCTGCATCCTGTGTACGTGTTCTTCAATGCTGATGCCCCAGCTCTCAGTTGTATCATGGCACCCGTACAGAAAGAGGGGTATGCTCATTAGCCAGACTGACTGGAAAAATCTTCCATTTATCTCAGGGAATAAAATGATCATCAGAAGATCAGTACTGACCACGCTGACGTTGGTTACCGTATCCTCTTTCCAACCCCATCTTCACTTTGCCCCCTGCAGGACCCACCTTCAGGACCTAAAAGAAGTGACCCACAACATCCACTATGAGACCTACAGGGCCAAGCGGCTGAATGACAATGGAGGGCTGCCCCCCATGACTGCCGAGACAGAAGAAAACCACGAAAGTAACCTGTGAATGACCCCCATCTTTGCTGTCACCCAGTGTCTCTGGATACGAGAACCCACCCCTGCTACCCTTGACTCTACCATGGGCCTGTTTCTGAAGCATGTGGCGCATCCTTCGTGTGCGTGAGAGGATGCAAGCGTGAGTGTGTGTGCGTGTGTGCGTGTACCTACCTATGTGCCGGGGAGTGACCAAAGGCATCTCCCCTGTCCTTCCCAGAGTGTCCTCATTCTCAGTTTGTTTTTTTGCACAGCGGACTGTCCGTCACCTACCTTTCTCTTGTTTCTGTGTCTCAGCTGTGTGTCTTGCCTGAGGGAAATGGGAGGGGGGGAAGGATTTCTGGGAGCAGGAAGGCTTCAGGGGTGGGAGGTGTGGGGCATGCTGTGGTCCTGTTTTTATCACTTGGAGACATGGCAAGGAGAGACTCCAGGAGAGATGGTGGAGTCAGTGCATGCAGTGTCTTCAGGTGATGGCAGCAGAGATTTCTCTTGGGTCCTCGGTGAGTGGAATTGGTCTGAGGGCACAGTGGCCCAGCATTTTATCCCCATTATATTTTATCCCCACAGCCCATTGCTGTGGCTTCCCAAGGGGAAATGGCAGCTTGGAAGTGGATAGATGGAAGAAGTGACAGACTGACATGTTTTGCGGTTCAGAGGAAGTGACCAGTGGGTAGAGATAGAATTAGTTCTTGGGCTATAGCACCTATTTGAGAAGTATCAAAGTATTTGGGGAAAATAGCCACATTTTCCAAAAGAAGCAAAACCCAGAGGAAAAGAACGTGTTCCTGCTGCAGAGGGTGCATTTGCCCTGCCCAGTGCTAAGATCGAAAGCCTTACTTGTGTCACAGGCTTTTGATCCTGTGCAAATGAGACCAAGCTGCCCTGAGGTCACCCCACCTCATCCCCTGTTGCAGCAGTCTCTCTCCACCAGCACTGAGCAGGTGCTGAACCTTTCCCACACAACACGGCCCCTCTGCTACAGGACTGCAGGGAAGACAGTGAGTGCCATGGGTGGTCCCTGCTGGGACCCACTTGGCACAGGGCCTTCAGGATCTTGGAGGAGTGCAAAGAGCCGTGGATTGAGAAGCACTGGGCCAGCGTGTCTCTCTGGGTCTCCACTGATGGTGGGAACACAAGAGATACCTCCTCCTCACTGAAAAGGCTGTGTGTGCTGCTCCAGCAGTCTCACCTTGTGCTGCTCCTCCGCCCACCTGCTACCCTCCCAGCTTCCATGTTGTCCTCTCCTGTGCTTTTGTCTTCATTCCCTTTTAGCCCTCCGTTGCCTACCTTCCTTTCTCTTCTCTTCTCTTCTCTTCTCTTTTTCTCTTCTCTTCTCTTCTCTTCTCTTCTCTTCTCTTCTCTTCTCTTCTCTCCTCTCCTCTCCTCTCCTCTCCTCTCTTTCTTTCTCTTGCTTTCTTTCTTTCTCTTGCTTTTTCTTTCTTTCCTTCTTTCTTTTTTCTCCTTTTTGTCTTTTTCTTTCTTCCTCTTTCTTTCTTTCTTTCTTTCTTTTTTTCTTTCTCTCTCTCTCTTCTGGACCCTTTCTGTCTCTCCTTCATTTCTCCAGGTACTTGAATCTTCCTCTTCTCCAGCCTGTTTCCTCCCTCTCCCAAGCTTTCACACCTCCTCATCAATGTGCTTTTGTGTCCTGTTGAGAAGCTGTTGTTTCACCCTCCCCTGGAGAGGATGGGGAGGGAAGGTGAAGACCCAGGAGCAGAATGAGGCACAGCTTTACTGAAGACTATATGCTTGTGTCTAGCCTGGGTCAGCTCCTTTCTGGATGTCCCTGAGCCATGTGGAAAGTGCCAGGGCTGGCTGGGCAGAAGGGAGAAGGGAAGAATATCAGATGTCCTAGCATGTCACACAGCTGACCGGGCTTGTCACCTCCAGGAGAATAGCCAGTTGCACTTAAGGCCAGAATGCCATGGCACGGGGTGGCAACGCTGCAAGGAAGGGGAAGTGTGGTGGGTTTGGGATGGGGTTTGGAAAGGCTGGCGTGGGGGGGAGGAAGAGGTCCCAGTGAGGGGACAGCAGAGGATGACTCAAGCCAAGCCTGAGGCTGGTTGACAGAGCTGTACGGGGGCCAGTGCTGGTAAGAGGGTGCTCCAAGCCTTACCAAAACCACTTTAGAGCATATGTCCATCTTGTGGCTTTCTCTGGTGCTATTACTGCAAAGCAAAGGTCTCTTCACTCTCGCTCCCACCTGTTCCCACAAATCAGCCGTTCTCAGCACCACTAGGAGGGCCATTCCTGCCCTTCACAGTCCTTTCACCATCCATGCTCGTGGCTCCTGGTGTTCCTGTACGCAGCGTGTGCAGGTAGCCTTGCACCTGCCTTCCTGCCTGTACCAGGCCTCCTCAGCCCTGCAGAGAACAAAAGCCTCATCACTGGTGCCGGCAGCCATACCATGGACCCTGCAGAAACCACCCTGCTACGCTGTGACCCATCCTGCCACCCGCACCGGCCATCCACAGCCCAACACGGGGTCAAAGTCTCCTCCCAGCGTGTCTCCACCAGCCGGCCGCCAGCCATACCATGGACCCTGCAGAAACCACTCTGCTACGCTGTGACCCATCCTGCCACCCACACCGGCCATCCACAGCCCAACGCGGGGTCAAAGTCTCCTCCCAGCTTGTCTCCACCAGCCAGCCAGGCACAGAGGTGTCCCCAGCATCACCGGCTGCCAGAAGCATCTTCTCCGCCATCTTCATCCTCTTCTGATGCGGCTGCTCCCGCCTCGTCGCCA